CCCACATGTGTCCCTTCTTCACTGGTATCCAGGATATTGGCTGGTGGTCCATGGGTAATCAAAATCTCCGTGTCAGGTAGCACTCTCGCAAAAGTTTCTGTTGGCAAAACGGGTTCCCGTTCACCGATGGCGACATAAATGCTGAGAAATGAATCATGTACGCACCTTCAGCGTCTGTACCCTTCGCATAGTGGAACGCTAGCCCTGCTTTTAGAAACGCGATGCAATTAAAAAAACGAGCAACAACGGAATCGGCAACTCAACTGGACGGACCTGGACGGTCTGGATCAGATTCAGGTGTCCCTGGCACCCCAAAAAGCTTCCATTCTTTGGGGATAGATGAAGAAAATGACGACGACGACGAAACCTCCGTGCTGCTTCCGCTCGAAGATGCCAAGGCCGATTCCGTTGACAGGACAGCATTGCTGACCATTGCCGAAGCTTTCTTTAGCATTGTCGTTATGGGGGATGATGGTATAGGCGATGGTGGAGGAGGAGGGCATGGAAAACCCTGTGCACGAGCTGCTTGATACTCGAGGTAGATCAAACGTGCCGCGTTTACACGTGGACCTCTGACAAGATTTCGTGCTGCAAGAGGATCCTGTTTAGGAAAGAATAAAAAAGAATCTGGATCAGCATATGTGTTTCTTGTGTTACACCGATAATAAAATGCGATAGGGTGGACACGGCATGTCGAAAAGGGGAGGTCAAAAGAAGGGTTAAGGGGTTGGTAACAGTTGCAATGCTTCTGCATTGAACTCATTTGAACCACAGATGAACACACACACCCGAACATACCTCTAGAGATTTTCCGTGAACCTTCCAACTATACTGATCGTACCAATCCATGTCCAGAACGAGCTATTGATAAAAGAGATCGCACATCAAATTCTTGTCTGAAAGATAGGAAAAATTTGTCGACACATACATCGTGACTCCCTGCGATCACTCTGTGCGCAAGAAAAGAGAAGCGGAGCGGGCGAAACGAACAGTACGGTTTTAGTCGTGGGACGATGGAAAACAAAAACAATTTGGGAATTTAGGGCTGTTGCGAAGTGAAGAGGGAGAGAAAAAGCTTACATCTTGGCAGCGTGTGGCAATCGTGAGAGCCACTGGATCGTTTTCTGCAGGTCTGGAACTCTGCCTACAGTTGTCAGGTCTCCTGCATGTATAAGAATATCGCCATCTGGAACAGGGAAGTCGATGACGGAATGGGTGTCGCTGATGCAAACGAAGCGGGTCCATCGAGTCCCTGGCTTGTCAGGGTCGTAGGGACGAGGGGGGACATTATCCATGTCATAGCTGAGGTGGACGACGGCCGTTCCGGAAGATGATCTAATCGAATGGGGTTGAACAGGTTTCTTCTCAGCGTCCCTAGGACGGGGGATGACGCGCTCAGCGCGCTGAGAGCTCTGGCGGACAAACTGATGGAGTATCGCCTGCATTTTGGGCCTGTGAGCGGAGGGGGCCGATTGGCAGATCTGGCGGATGAGGGGGGGAGAGAAAAGGTGGGAGCGTGTTGCAGGGGTCGAATCAGTCGCGTGCGGGGTAAGCTGAGCTGTGTAAGATGAAGTTTAGTAGTTTTTCCCTTTAAGAGATGCTTTTTAATGGTAGGATGGACGTTGACGGCGTTGGACGTTGGGGACGTGGTGAACTGCGGCTAGCGGTGTTGCAGGAAGTGAGTCTCTGTGTCTGTCTCTGGACACACATAATTGGTCCGGATACTTGAGAGTTTCTGAGGACTCGACTCAATTGAACCTAGAGAGCCGATAGGTCTAGACCTCAGACTGATTCAATCAGATCCCATTCATTTGATTATATCATCGATTTTTTATTTATTAGGCTCTTCGGACCCAAACCATTTCAATTCCAACCAATTCCCAAAAAGCTCAAACACCTGTCAATCGTCCCCTGGATCAAATTCATCCAGAGTTCTGCACGCTCTCAGTAAGATATGCCCCATCCAAACGATACTATACTGACCCACCTGTCGACTACAAATTGTTCAATCGATCATACTCGGCATTAATCGAATCCACAAAATCCTTCGGCTCGTGACCAGCATCGCATTTTTGCCAACTCCCATCGCGCACGCATCGAACTTTCCCGCTGATCAAAATAGTGCAACTCTTCCTATACACGGAAACGAAGAATGGAATCAGTATCGTCACGCAATAAAACCTCCTTCACGCGCGTTGCAAGCAGGTGTGAGAGTGGAAGACGACAGTCATCCAAATACGTCCAGCACGGGGCTAATTGCTCTACGCAAAAGGACTAGTAGGCATAAAGGGAAAGGGGGGACACAATAAACGCATAACAACCAAAGTATGATTAACTCAACTGAATACCCAGCTGTTTTGTGTGCTTCACACTCTCACGTAAAAGTCGAGGTCCCTCCTCTCCATTCACGCAGGCCTCGATTCCGCTTTGGCTCCAATCGATATCGGACACCTTCGAACACTCTTTCGCCGTCCGTTCGAGCCCGATACTCTCCGCCCCGCCATAATTAAGACAGCGGAGGAACGGCCACCAGATGCTACTTGCCCCTGAGTACTTGGCCACACAAAGTTCATGGATGTTTCCAGTACATTCCAGCGAACCATGTTTGCATGTTACTCCATAAATAGGTTCGGAACTATTCAACCTGTGCAGATTCAGCAAAAGTTTTCCCCGATCGTATAGCAATGAGCTCGATAATTGAATGATACCAGTGCGGCGAACCCGGCAACAAAAAATGAGGGGATACGTACTTTCCAATGAATGTTAATGAAAGATCAACTTTTTCATGCCCTACTTTGTCGAGAACCTGGTCAAAAACGTTTTCACATACGAAAGCATCTGGGCACCTGTTTTTTTGAAATGATCATCAGGGGTTTTAGACGATCAACTCCCACCAAGACAAGGCAGGAGAGGAGTGAGGTTCGTCCTTGAATACGCACCGAGACATAACACCCAGTGTCACAGGGACTCGTACAGCAAGTTTCGTCCGTTGACCTGAGTCAACCATCAGAGCAAATTGATCAGCAGGACCATGTATAGCATGTCCAGTGAAATCTGCGATGCTCCGCGAGAAGGCAGGGGAAATTGATGCCACAAAAAGCCACACAAGAAGCGGAGCCTTGAATATCATTGGTAATTTGGGGATTCAACCTGGCAAGCCGTTCCACTCGCTCGTTCTTGCCCGAATGATGAGTATGAATGCTGATAAACTGAGGGGCCCTTCGAAGATGCTTGAAAGTTAGACCACAATCTCCCTAGAGAGGAGGGGCGTACTATTCGAACGTCGAACCCGTCTGATTGTTTGTTTGTTTGTTTTATTCTGGATATTTAACCTGCAGAGCTTCAGGCTGCTCACAAGAGCGCCAAGGGCAGGGGTCTCGAGAAAAATACACGCAAATAAAGTAAAAATAACAGATAAGTCCGATCTGAGAACACTCGTCCTTCTTCGTCCGAATGAAACCCAAACCATATTCCCCTGGTGAGTCGTCACTTACAGATGTTCGGATATTGTGTTACGGGTGCCAAGATGGGAGGGGTTCCGCTTCACAAGCGGACGTTATCTCTCGGGTTTACTCCGTTGTCTCCTAAATAGTGTTTTTCTTTTCGTATGCCCCACTCTCATTTAAGAATTCTGCCACTCGCTTGATCCCCTCTTCCTTCCCCAGGAGGTCTGCAAGGTTCAGAATCCCGTCTTTGTCTCGTAGGACGTCTCGGTGGTCGGAGTACAGAGGGCATTCCATGAGGATGTGCTCTCGTGTCTCGATGGGTGTGCCGCAGCGGCAGCTTGGGTCTTCGCTAGGTAGGAATCGCTGGTAGTATTGGCCTAGGAAAGCATGTCCGGTGCGTAGTTGGACCAGGCGGCTGAAAGTTTTGCGGCTGAGAGTCCTAAAGTGTTTGGAAGGGGAGATTTGTGGCCCGATGCCATTGCAAAGGTAGTATTCTGAACGTCTGAATTGGACAGGGTCAGTATTCCAACGTTGGGTCCACTCAGTTTTAAGTCGACGTTTGTTAATGTTCCGCATGAATGCTGCCGATGATTCAAAAGGGTAGTCGGAGGGGAGGAGTGTACCTTCTTTCGCCAGTGAGTCGGCAAGGTCATTCCCTTTGATGTTTTCGTGTCCTGGTACCCATTTGATTTCAATTCGGCAGAGGGGACGTTCATCGAGTATCTTCAGAATGACTTCGCGGAAGCGTAGGGTTTGGTGGATGTCTAGCCCAGGAGAGGTTGCCAGAATACGTTGCAGTGCGCCAGTGTTGTCTGAGTAGAATGACAGTGATAGGTCGCTCTCCTTGGGGACGTTGTTGTCGAGCCAAGAGACGAGGAATTCTGAACCTTGCGCGAGACCCTCCATCTCTGCGTCGTAGACCTCTACCCTCGCTCCTGTCCCTCCTTTTCCCTTGAGAATAACGTTGCCGCATTGGTAGGCTGCGAACCCGTATCCCGATCTTCGGACACCCTGGTCAATCACAAGTGATCCGTCAGTATACAGATTAATGTGAGACTCATCCAAATTCCTTCTCTTTAGTTCCTTTTTATGCTCCTTCGCCCATAACTTCCTCGCGGATATGCCTGGTTCGTTTTCTGGCACTTCAACTCGGAGTCTGTCGTTCAGGTCGTCGATAGTCCTTGCCCATGGTGGTTCTGGCCATAAGGTTGTTGGTTCCATTTCTGAATCGATTTCTTTTGCCATTCTCCATATTTGAGTACAGTTTTTGTCTTTTTCTTTTCTTTCTTTTTGTTTTTGTCTGTTTTGGAATTTTCTTCTTTTCGGGTGAGGTATAGGGATTGGGGGTTATTTGTGTCGGATGGGATGAATATTTGTTTGTCGGGGGTAGGCGAGATAAGATTGGGTTGTCTGTGTCGAGTCTAGCGAAGCGGAGGGCTGAGCGTCGTACTATGTAGTCTAGGGTTAGGTCAATGGGGGGATGCTACATTCAAGTTGCATTGCGTAGGTCGGAGATGTGTGGAAAGCACCCGAGATGAAACGGAGGGCGATGTTTTGAATGCGTGATAGCATATGTGTGTGCAACTTCTTATTACGCCACCACGTTGAGGCTCCATAAGTCAGCATGGGAATGATAGCGCCGAGATAGATTAGGCGCCTTTGGACCTGGTGCATGCCGCCGATAGAGTTTCCTAAGATGGTCAGAGCATTAGCTGCCTTTGCGGCTTTTGCACACACTTTCCGGACATGGGGTGTGAATGAGAGTTTCGAGTCCCAGGTGATGCCGAGCCATTTCATTTCTCTAGAGTGTTGAATTGTGAAGCTTTGGCGCGTGCCCCGTGTGGGGATGCGGAGGTCTAGGTGTGGTTGTTTGGAGCGTGTGAAATGAATGAGGCCGGTCTTTGCTGGGTCGAGTGAGAGGCCTCTGTCTTTAGTCCATTTTTCGGCAGCTAGGTAGGAGTATCGAGCAAGTTTAATGTTAGTTTCTATGGACTTGGAAATGATTAAGATGTTGCCATCGTCGACATAGAGAGTTGTGTTAGTTGGTTTAGGGGAGTGGGCGAGAATAGAGTTTTTGGTTCTGGAAGGGAGGTTGTGGGTTTTGGTGGCCGAGTTAATTGTTTCAATTAGAGGGGCTGAGAAGTAGGCAGCTAGAATAGGCGAGACACAACTTCCTTGAGGGATACCAGTGAGGGTGGGTCTCATCGCATCTTTGTGGCCATCTAGGATAAGAGCAGTACGTCGGTCGCTGAGAAACGAGGCCACCCATTTGACTATAGGGAGTGGGATGTTTTTGTTGCGTAGAGTATTGAGCAGGTGTGGGTGGGAGACGAAGTCGAAGAAGCCGGTGATATCAAAGGTGAGTGAAGTCGCTGTGAGTTTATGGTTGAGTGCAGCCTCGATGTCATGGACAGTGGAGAGTGTGGCATCTTCAGCTGATCTGCCTTTCATTCCTCCGAATTGTGTGACCGGTAAGAGTTCGTGTTGGCTAGCATAATATGAGAGACGGTTAGCAATGACTCTTTCGATAACCTTTCCTAGGACCTCCAGAAGCTGGATAGGTCTATAGGAGCGTGGTTGCGTGTAGTCTGGTTTGTTAGGTTTACGCAATGTGACCACCAGGGCATCGTGGAAGGATGCAGGGTGATAGCCGGTTTCGATGGCCGCTTGAACAATGGCTGTGAGTTCCCTCTCAGCAACACTCCAGGCCAGTTTGTATGCTATTCCGCATAGTTCGCTGGGTCCTGGGGCATTGTATGATGCTGCCTTGAACAGCGCACGTTTAACTTCGCCTTTTGTGACAGGATGCCACGTGATATCTGAGGATTTGTGTTCCAGGTTCACTATGGGAGGATTTAGTATGGTGGGAGGGCGGGGGAGAAGGTGCATGCGGAGGGTATGACATTTATCAGGGAATGAGGTGGCTGGGGGAGTGTTGTCGCCACGGGAGATGTGTGGAGTCAGGTAATTTCTGGATCCTGAGGCCCAGCGTACTAGTGGCCAGAAGTTAGAGTTATTAGTGTCTTTTGCGAGTTCAGCATAGAAAGTCCTTTTAGTTTTCCTGAAGAGTCTTTTGAAGGTGGCCCTAGCATGCTTCAGATTGTTTTGGGTGTGTTCTGAGATAGCACCCGTGAGCGATTTTTCAACACGTGATTCTTCTCTGGTGTTGACAATTTTCATCCTTGCTTCGGTGAGTTCAATGGTCCAGAAGGGTTTAGCATGGCGGTAGGGTTTTCTCCTGGGGCAGTGTTCTTCTGCTGCATCTAGAATGTAGTTCTGGAGTTTCCCTACTGCTGTGTCGATGTCTGATTGGCTGGGAGAAGAGGTGCGCCAGTTGAGAATAGGGGAGAAAGTGTTTCTATACTCTAGAGTGTTCGATCTGAGTTTGCTTTCGATAGAATTGACAAAGTCAATTTGTTTGAGTTTTCTCCACATGAACTTGTGAAAGTTAGGGGCCGAGGGTTGTGTGTCGCCGATTTTCAGACTGAAGATGCTGGCGAAGTGGTCGGAGCCGCAGTTATTAGATGAGTCAAGTGTCCAGTGGGCTAGGGTGTTGCGTTGAGTTGCCATCTCATTAGTAAATGTGAGGTCAAGTGCAGATTCAGAGTTGCCGTCATGAGAAACTCTAGTAGTTTGGTTCCAGTCATTGACTAAGTTGAGGCCATTCTCATGAGTCCATTCTGCTGTCCGTGTGTCGCGTTGGCTGGCATAGCGGTTGTTAGGTACAAGGTTAAAGTCTGGGTGGTGGGTGTTCCAGTCACCCGTCAGTATGGTTGGGATCAGTGGGTCAGGTGAGGTAGCGCAGAGTGTGTCGACTGAGTAGAGATCCGAGTCTGGGATGTGTTGGTTATAGATGTTATATATGCGGATTGTGTTGTTGTTATGGCAAGGGGAGATATCTAAGACCTGAATGTCGAGATGATCTATGATGTCTGTTCGGGGGTGAGTATTAGTTCTGAGTTCTGGCGAAGGTATGCAAAGACTCTAGGTCTTTCTCCTTCTTTAATTGTTTTGGTTGTTGGTAAAATTGGGGTCCAGCCGGCGAGATTGCAGGAGATCCAAGTGTCATTGGGGCGTCCCCACCAGGGTTCTTGAATGAGTATAATGTCGAAAACGGTGTGGGGATGGGTGGATGCAACGTGAAGTGCCGAGGTATGGATAATTGGGGACCTGGCTACGTTAAGACTAAAAATGTTAATAAGGTGGGGTTTTCTGTTCATTGGGAGGTCCCCAGGTTGCTTGCTGCAGCGCTGGTGTCCATCTCAACATCTGTACCTTCTTGGGTTGCTGGGGGGGAGGGTTAGCGGGCTGGGTGGAGTCCGCTTTGTTGATGTTTCTCGAGTTTCGTCCCGGAACTTTGATCAGCAATTTTGGTGGTGGGATGCCGAGTTTTTTCCTGTAGACCATGCAGTTTCTGTCATTATATTCGTGGGGTTGGCCACAGTTGATACATTTGGCTGGCACGTCTTCAGGATGTTCCATGGTCGAGTGTTCCTCGTCCGTACACTTGAGGCATCTCATGCCGGTGCAGTCCGTTGTGCGGTGGTTGAGTGAGCCGCATAGGCCACAGTAGAAAGCTCTCCTTCTTTCTTCAAAAGGCGAAGTAGTGCATCGATTACCTAGGCATAGGAAACAACCTGCTTCTAGAAAACGCATCGCTTTCTCATGGGAGTCATATGTGAAGACGAGTGTCGAGTTGTCCTTATCGCGCGATCTAACTAGCCAAGAGGGAACTCGCTCAGGTGAGTATAGTTCATCCCAGTCATTGTAGTTATTACGTAGAATAGATAGGATAGCTTCCGGGGTGTAATTGATGATCATGCCACCATCTGAGGAGCGCATTGGGACATTGTCTAGTTTAACCTTGAAAAGCTGCTTGTCTGGGAAACCTTGGAAGGATTCAATCGTGTTCTCGGGGTCGAGTACTTCCATAATCGTCGTCGTAAAGTCAGCAAGATCCGTTGCCAGAGTTTTTCCTGCTCCAGTCAGTACCACGTTGTCGGTCGTAGTCATGGCTATGTCCATCACGCTAAAATTAGGATCAAGTCCAGCATGCCAAAGGGCATTGTTGACACAGTTGATTTTTTCTGGTCCAAACTTGCGGTTTCTGATTGGAAGTTTCTGCACAGAGGAAATAATTAAGCGGGCAGGGTGGTTCCTGTCTGTGGGGCAGGAGGGTGTGCGGGGAGGTGGCATGGACTTCTTAGCAGGTCTCTTAGGTTGTGTAGCGGTGGGGTTAGTTCGGGCAACTTGAGCATATGAGTTTACGTGTTTTGGAGCGTGGATAGAGTCTTTGACGGTTGGGAAGTTCAGCTGGTTGATAGGTGATTGTAGGTCAAGAGGGGCTGGGAGCGGGGTTGGTGTGGGGACGTAGTTGACAGCTTTGGCTAGTTCGAGTTGTTTAGCTAAAGAGGCATTGGTTTCGGTAAGCGTTTTGGCCATAGAAATGGCGTCGTTTAGGGCTTTCTGAGCGTCAGGGTTGGGGGGAGCGGATCCTAGCGGCGGGTTTGGGCATAGCAGCTCCTGAATGTCATGTGTCGACAGGTTAAGTTCTGTGATGATACCGACGATCCTGGATTTAATAGGCATAGGAATCCCTTCTTTCTTGTGTAAACTGGTGACGTCGTAGAACTCGAGCATGTGGGAGCAGACTTTATCTAGCAGTTGACAGAACGACCTGGTGTAGTCCGGGTGTCTTTCCCCTGTGAATTCATCATACGCGTCCTCGTCAATCCCCTGTTCACTGAGGTCATCATCCAGGATTTCTGGGCTTAGGGGAATTGGCGATAAGCTCCTTTCTGAGATTGCGATTGGACGCGTTGTTGGGTGTTGATTGGAAGTGAACGCGGCTGCTGCCTGATGCCAGCTTTGTCCTGTGCTATTCTTATGGGGGGTTTTGGAGGGAACTGGGGAAGCAGGCGGGGAACGGTGGGGCGATTCTATCTTTCTCCTCTTCATGGGGGTGGTAAGTTTGTCAGGTGGATCGGGGACAGAGCTGGTCCGATCGGGAGGTTTATGTTGATTCCCGAGTGTCTGTCTCGGGCTGCGATTCATGGTTGTTTCCAAGGGGCAGGAAGATAGGCCAGAGTAGGGATTTGGATGAGTTTGGGACGCGTTTTTTTTTTTTCAAAAACGCGCTCGATCGTGGTGGTGTGGTGATGATTGTGGTGATGATTGAACCGCGTCGAACCCGTCTGACACAATGGACACGATAAATTCGGCCGGCTCCGCTGAGTGCAATGATGATGATGATGATGATGATGTGATTGCATTGAAGTATGTTCGAGGCTCTAGGCCTGTCCAATTGAATCAAAATGTAGGCGTGAGAATCGGGATTAATCTATCTCCGACTTCGAAACTCCGCGTCGCCATTGACCTTCGGTTCGAGACTTGGTATGAACAATCATTGCCTTGCATATTTAAGGGTATGGAGGTCCGGTGTGCGGGCATATGGCCAGCACGGCTGTTCACCAAGGGCCGCCGTAGTAACACCATTCAATCTCCAGCCTATCAACATTTTTGTTGCAACCCAGGATCACCTTAGAACCGCACACTTGGCCCATGCCACAGTTTTCACCCTCGAAATCAATGCCCTTCACAGGAAGAAGCCCAGTGTTGCACCAACCACCTCTATCTTTTCGAATTTCTCAGGGCTCATGTGCGGATGCAGGCACGTTATATGAACAACCCCTTCTTCTCCCATACTGCATTATCTTGCTTTTTTGACATTGCTACTCATGGCAAAGGGATTATATTTCGGGAAAAGAAACAGCCCCATGGAACCTGGATCTGGGCCCCACCAGCTCGGGCAAGATTTAGATTGGCCGTGGAACACTCGCACGCGGTGCCCGCGCGTGCTCGACGCATCGCTTTAATTTACTATAATAAAGTTTCGTATAGTGATCTACACCACTAGGCTAACG